CAGCGGCTGCCGCTCGTCGTGCCCTCCGTCTTGACGATGCGGAGCCGGTGGTAGCAGCACCAGAGGCCTTGGTGGCGGAGGACCGCCCACCAGCATCTAGGCGCTGCCGCGCCGTCATGACCAATTTGGCCACGTCGTCCAGCCATCGTTGGGCTGGAGACTCCGGGTCAGGGACGACAGGCGGGTGGCGTAAGAGCGCGCCCGCAGCTTGGAGCGCGCCCTGGGGCGTGCTGCCGTCGCCGTAGACGAGGAGGCGACGCTCCCCATCTCGCCGTTCTTTTCCGTCGCCCGCGATCGGTGAAGTCGCGGATCTTTCGACCCTCTCGAGCGCCTCCCCCTGCTTAGGACTTTGGCGTGGAGGGGGCGGTGGAGTACGAGCTCGACGGCGTGGGTTCGGCTCCCCGTCGTCGCCACTCATACTCGGAGAGAGGTCGTGCGCCTTTGCTTGCTCGGCCATCAGGCTGAACAGGAAAAGCTTGGCGCACAGGGCAGAGTGCGAGAGCTCAGAAGACACACGCTGAACCCCCTACCTGGCGCGCCAGATGACGGAGCGTGGGGCTCCTCACCGGGAGACCGCACAGGCCCCCCTTTGCCGGTTCGGCCGGGGGCTCAGGGTGAGATCCCAAGCTCTCTCTGTACGTGGAAAGATCGCGACCTATCGAAAGAGCATGAGACACAAGCGATGTATACAGGTTCGGGCCGCTGAGAAGCGTAATACCCTACTCCTGTGTTTTTAGTGGATCTGTGTATCAAGGAGCTACAAAGTGTGAGCCAACCTCCCCCTTTGTTCTAGGTTCCGAATCAGGAAAGAATCCAAAAAATCCCCCTTCTCCATGGGCAAGGTCCTCCTTTTATATTTCAAGGGGATACCACATGCACCCTCCCTTTCCAAACTGGACTTTTCTTCTCTTCATAAATGGACGGAGATTTGCACGGTTGCCCTCCGAACGTCCTTCTGACGGGACGGCACATACCTACCTCCACTTCTGCCGGGGGCAGGCGCGTGTTGGGAACGTGGCTGTCTGCCGACGACATGATCAGTGTCAGACCGGTCACAAATCGGTCATTCTTGTCCACCACGCGTCAGCTTAGCAACGTGCATGTTTGCCCTTCTTCACACAACATCTTGCTTGTAATGGTTAGGATGAAGCCTGGCATATATCCGACCGGGGCTAACGTGCCATCTCTGGGAGGTAACACGCTAGCTCCAGCTGGGGACGAGTGCCTAGAAGCTCTCGTCTTGACGGGATGGGGCGAAGCGTGCGTCAGACCGCCTGTCGCCTCCTAACCCGCGATCTGACCGGTCTGTGACTGGTCACAGACCGGATAAACGAGTGCACTGCACTGTATTTCGTGCGGCGTGACACGTTTAGCCGAGCCGCAATAAATGCGGTTAGGTGAGCCCCGCTGTGCTCACCTAACCCATACACGCGGAGTAGAACCCGCGAGGGGTCGGGGCGCCTCGGCCCTCGGGGGCGAGGCAGGAGTGGTCCGACCCCCCCTCGGGGAGACCAAGAGGTGGGCGCACACATCACCCTCGGGCCCGACGTCCCCCGAGGGTGCCAGGCCACGTGGGCGATTGTGTCTGCCTCAAGCCTCTAGTCGTGATACTCCCGGTCCCATGTCACCGACAATATATATATATATATATATATATATATATATATATATATATATATATATATATATATATATATATTGTAAGTTACTTTTGTCATATATGTGATTTAAGCTCTTTAATAACTTATATATTTTAAATCACGTATTGTTTTTGGATCTATTTGCGTCATTATGCTCTACATAAAATATGTGACAATGCAATATCCATATTGGATATATATTCAAATATTTTATTAATTTAAAAGTCATGTATTTAAATTGCAGAGTAATTTAGCTATACAATAGAAGTAACTTAGCTATATAATAGAAGTAACTTAGCTATGCAATAGAAATAAGTTTCTGTAGTAGAAGTAATTATATGCAACAGAAGTAATTTAGTTATGTAATAGAAGTACTTCTAACTCTCTGTAGTATAAATAATAATTTACATAAATCATAAAAGTAACTTAGCATAAAATGCAAGTAAATTGTTACAAGTAAATTCGTTGTAGGAAAGAAAATATGGTCTATCGAAAAATTAAATTTAAAGTCCACAAATTACAGAATTGACTAAAAACAATAATACAAATAATCAATTTAGAGCATTATGAATGTATAAGAAGTAACTTAGTCAAATATAAAAGTAATATATATATATATATATATATATATATATATATATATATATATATATATATATATATATATGATAAAAGTAACTTACGTATATAATAAAAGTAATTTACAAACATAAATATTTTTTCGTCGCAATATAATCATGTAAGATCTTGTTGTAAAGATTTAATTGTAACGAACACAATGGTGTAATCGGATTGTATATCGGATAAGTAATTTTAGAGAAAATTTTATAAGAAGGGTAAAAAGAAATGCATATCTATATAGATGTGTAGGCGTTTGTCTGCTGTCTTCCGTTCAGATGTGTAGGCTTTCTCTGCTATGTACGTAAGCTTTCTATACCGTCTCCGTTAAGACTAAACAGAGAGGCAAACACTGATATTTTACAAAGTATATCTGTGGATTATATGAGCCATTAATATATTGTTATTGCGCATGTATAGGAGACATGGAATATTGCGTGGAGTTGACCAGTATGTCGGCACTTTGTTGGCGTGTAGCAAATGTCATGATGCAAAAATTCTATGGGCGCCATAGGTTTTCCTGTGGTGGAACGAGTTGACGTGAGTTTAAATTCTAGATTAGTACTGTTGCTCGTATTTACGGTTTTTTTTTCATAAATAACCGATGTACTCTTTAACAATAAGATAAGACCTTTGTCAATCTCGAGTTATACACTTTCGGTGAGTTCGTCAATTATAATATATACACCTTCATCAATCTCAAGATGCATGTGCTGGCTCAGTATTCATATAAGTAGGGGTGTGCAACATATTCATGTGTATCAATCTCTCAATATGCATGTCGGCTCAGTCTTTAAATGTGCTCATATGGGTAAAGGTGTGTGATACGTTCATGTGTATCAATCTCGATATGCATGTGCCGGCTCAGTCTTTATATGTGTTTATAGGGGTAGGGATGTGTGTGCATATTTATAGAGGTGACTGCGTATGTGTATATATAAGCGTCTACGTTTGTGTCTTGTAAAAGAAAAAAAAATTTAAAATCAAAAGTAAGGTAGAGGCACGTGAGAAAATGTTTTTTTTCTTGACTATAGACGTTTTTATTTGTCATTTTGTGTTTAGATGATTCTGTTAATCCCTACGTGTAAATAATATTCTTCTAGTTACTTTTAGCAGGGCTACGTGTAAACAATATTCTTCTAGCTACACGGCTGAGCTACTTTCTTATTATTTGTAGACACGCTTTCTAAACTGTTAAACATTATATTTTCGTGAAGAACATGTGTCCAGTTCAGCGGGAACGTGCCAGTTACATGGTTACGGGACGAGTTGGATGCAGATACCACAAGCAAACAAGAGGTGGCAGTTACAGTCTCGGTAACATGGAAAGTCAAATGCAAGTAAATACTTCATCCATTTTATATTATAAGTCGTTTTGATTTTAGTCAAAGTCAAGCAGTTTCAAATTTAATCAAATTTGTAGAGAAACTAGTAAAAATTTCAATCCAAAACAAATACATTTATGAAAATATATTCAATTATATATTTATAATGAAACTAATTTGATAATATTACTATATTTTTCTATAAACTTGAAATGGTTTGACTTTGACTAAAGTTAAAACGACTTATAATTTGATACAAATGAAGTAATAAGGATTGGATTAAGTCAAGTATAGCCTTCTATAACTTGTGTTAAAGCTTAAATGTGAGGCACAAATATGTGACTGTTGTGTGTTTCGTTGCTAGTTGCTACAAACCTGCAAACACACCTCTTATTTGTTTATAAATTCAAAAAGACAATGTAAGCTAATGTGCATGCAGTTCAAGATTGACATAATACCTCCTTTGATTGGAGTAGATAGCTTTGCAAGCCGGTGGTTGCATATTAGCTAGGGAAGGACCAAATTAGAGCGCAAGAAACTGCACTCCATCGTTTTGGTTACTGGGATGATCCACAAAAATGTAAGACCAGTGTCTTTCGTGGGATGACATATACGGCACAAAGAGCTAACAAAGACAATAACAATGATGAAGGAGCTATGAATTTGATTGTATGTAAGGATCTAGACTAATAGCTAAAAAATGTTCTATTTTAGGAGGTAGTATAATATAGCGGTTATCCGGCTCATGCGAGCTAGCTAGCCTATGATATTATATATGAGTCTAAGCTGAGCTATGTGATTTATGGGTCCGAGTTTTTTTTCTCAATCCATGGTTGTACGATGTTTTTGTGAGCCTCTTAAGTTCTACGGCGTAATTAGCTTTGGCCAACAATTTATTTACCGTGTTTTATTTATATTATCTATGGTGGTGTTTGAATCTCCTGAAAATAAAGACGAAGATAAAGATTAAGTGTTTCATGCAAAAATGAATTGGTAATAACGTGTGATTAATTGAGTTTTAATTATTACAAACTTAAAAAATAGATTAATACGATATTTTAGAGCAATTTTCATATAGAAAGTATTCCCATAAAACGCACCGTTTAGCCGTTTGAAAAATATGTCACTGAGTATCCAAAATTTTATCTCTGCTAGTAGAGGAAACGAACAGGGCTCACATTAAAGAAGAATGTTGCTAAGCAAAATGCAAGTACTCAGCCAACAACCCACTTGCTAACCAAAACCTCGATATCTATCACATGAACTAAACATGGCACTTGCAGGAGCATCAACAACAACCCACCTGACACCTACACTTAACCCTAACCTGAAACGCAACGAACTGCAAGTTAGTACCACTCCACGTGACCGCGCGCCCATCTAGCACGTCAAAAACGCTCGCGACGCGCAGTAGAAAAGCCACCCCCACCCGGTCGGAGTCGGAAACCGACCGAGCCCAACGCACCGCACCGCACCGGCCAACCAGTCCACGGACTCGCGAGCCCAAACCGCTCAGCCGCCGATGGCGACGCCGCCGCCGCCGCCGGCGCCGACGCCGGAGGTGTTCGACGTCGTCATCTTCGGGGCTTCGGGGTTCACCGGAAGGTACGTCATCCGCGAGGCGCTCAAGTTCCTGCCCCCGTCGTCGTCCCCGCTCCGCTCGCTCGCGCTCGCCGGCCGCAGCCGCGACCGTGTCGCCGCCGCGCTCCGCTGGGCGGCGGGGCCCGGGGGGGCGGCGCCCGACCTGCCGATCCTCGTCGCGGACGCCTCCGACCCGGCGTCCCTCGCCGCGCTCGCGGCGCGGGCGCGCGTCGTGCTGTCCTGCGCGGGCCCCTTCCGCCTCCACGGCAGGCAGGTCGCGGCGGCCTGCGCCGCCGCGGGGGCCGACTGCCTCGACATCTCCGGGGAGCCCGAGTTCATGGAGCGCGTCGAGGCGGAGTTCCACGAGGCCGCCGCCAAGAACGGGTCGCTGATCATCTCGGCCTGCGGGTTTGACTCCATCCCCGCGGAGCTCGGGTTCTTGTTCCACTCCAGGCAGTGGGCGCCGCCGTCCGTGCCGGTGACTGTGCAGGCGTACCTGAGCCTGGAGTCGGACAAGAGGATCGTCGGGAACTTCGGGACGTACGAGTCGGCCGTGCTCGGTGTGGCCAACGCCGGTGAACTTCAGGCGCTGCGCCGGTCGCGGCCAAGGCGACCCAGGCCCAATGTGAGCTACCGACTTCTCTCAGTTTGTGAATTGATTTACGAGTTCTATCAAATGCTAATTCAATCATCTATAAAGTTGCTAATTCGATCATTCAATGGCGTGGTAGTTGATAAGGGAACTAAGGCTACCTCACCGAAACAACATTTGCATACAGTTAGAACTTAGAAGGATGATTCGTCCCCTAATTGGATATGCTGCTCAGTGTTGATAACCTTCTAGTTTTATTGGTCCATTGTGAAATTTCTTTTGTTATTGGTGTCATTGACTTATTGTGAATGGTTGTGATTTCCTTTGTGCTGTTTTCTAGTTTGCCCGAGGATGAAATTTTCCCTGTTTTGATATAGAATACATCCTAAGTCCCAAATGCTCCAAACATTGTTTGACAAAATGATGATTGGTAATGACAATTGGTTAAGAGCAAACTTATTGTCCTTATGATAAAATTGAGAATTTGGTTTTTGTCGATCAATGTTTATTTCATGCTGAATAGAGTTTTTCTTTTGAAGGGAAAACAACACGAGATTGTGCCTTTTCATTGAATATAGCAGGAAAAAATAAAACCCCTAGGGGTATGCTGAATAGAGTTTTGTACTGGAGCAGTACAATTTTATTTTCCAAACGAGGAATAGACTCTTAATATAAGTATAAGATGGTTGAAGGTTACAGAATAGATACAATGAAGAAGGGCGATCCACATATTTCGACTGCTATTAAGACGATATACACCACTACTGATGTCTGTGAAACATGCTGTGTGGGCGCCCTTTAATTAACTCAGTATCATTCTTTCCCTTTTTAATTTGTCCACAAAAGATCTATATGTCCTACTCTAACCATCACCTTTGTTTCAAGTGGTCTGTTGTTGGTACTTGGTACAATCACATGCCAAGCAAACTCTGCCACTTAATCCACTATTCTATCAAGTTGTTGCCATATTATGCACCATCTTTGAGCTAATGAATAACTTTTCACCTTTTTTAGAAAAAAAGTCTCGGTACTGTCATACTGGTGACATGTAAACTAAATGACTGGTACCGTGCCTTTTGTGTGAATGTGACGCTAATCCATGAGGAATAGGTTCTCTTGTTTCTTTGTGCATCATATTGACATTTGCTAGTTCTTTATGTGTCTTACATGTCTATATGAGTACTCCACACTTCCCCTTGATGTCCTTGATAATGATTAATTGCTTCCCTCTCCAAGTTGTTAGTATTGTGTTCTTAGGGCCTGCTATTTTCTTCCGCTCTATTAATACATGAGTCAAGACAGAGCCTCTTTTCTTTCACAGGGCCTGTTATCCTTTGATTAAGATCAGAGTGATGTATTAACCTACACGCCTAATTTTACCACAACACCAAGGCTCTTAAGTATCACTGCGCTATTTTCACATAGAAATAGTTAAAATCCTACTTAATCATGAAAACTAGCATGGCTAGCCGCGCAGATTGCGCGGCTAGCATCATTATATTTTCTCTCGTATAATAGCATATATGTTTTCTCAATGTATTATTCAAATATATTAAAATAACAACATAATTTTAAATTTTGTGCTAACTTACGAATCTACTAATGTGTAAATTCATATTGCATTTTATATACGTGTTATTTATTAATTATATTTAATATCAAATTTTAGTTATTTGTAAATTATATTCCTATATGGACTCTAGACTCGTCTTTCAATATTATTTTAATTCCGAATTTTCGTTATCTGTAAATTGTATTTCTATATAGAATCTAGGCTGTTCTTCCAATATTATTTATTTTTAATTCTGAATATTTCTATTATTTCGATGTGGACTCTAAACTCATCTATCAATATTCTTTAATTTTAAATTTTGAATTTCAGTTACTTCTAAATTGTATTCTTATATTGACTTTAGACTCTTCTTCCCATGTTTTTTTAATTTTGAATTTTAGTTATTTGTAAATTGTACTATTTTTATATGAACTGTAAACTCTACTTTCAATTTTATTATGTTTATTTCGAATTTTAGTTAGTTTAAAATTCCTATATGGACTATATACTCCACTTCTAATATTCCTTATTTTTAATTCCGAATTTCTATTATTTCTTAGTTGTATTTCTATATGGACTTTATACTCTACTTCTAACAATCCTTATTTTTAATTCCGAATTTCTATTATTTCTTAGTTGTATTTTTATATGTACTCTATGCTCTACTTCTAATATTCCTTATTTTTAATTCCGAATTTCTATTATTTCTTAGTTGTATTTTTATATGTACTCTATGCTCTACTTCTAATATTCCTTATTTTTAATTCCGAATTTCTATTATTTCTTAGTTGTATTTCTATATGGACTCTATACTCTACTTCTAATATTCCTTATTTTTAATTCCGAATTTCTATTATTTCTGAATTGTATTTCTATATGGACTCTAGTCTCCTCTTCCAATATTCCTTATTTTTTAATTCCGAATTTCAACTATTTCTAAATTGTATTTCTATATGGACTCTGTTTTTCTTTTTCTCCGATTAATGTGGGAATTTCTAAGCCGTGAGAGCGAACGTGGAGGCTTCTTTTTCTATTCCTTTAATAAGTTAATAGATAGATCTTGTTAAATGGCAGGCTACTGCCAAAATATGAAGAGAGCAACAGGAGTTAGGAAAGCAATAGCTACATGAATTTATGATGTAAAGTTGACTTTAATGTGTTTTTTCATTTTAGTTATTGACCTATTGCAATAGAAGTAAGAGGGTGAGGAAGGGAAAAATCTCAATGTAGAGGAACTAAATAAGGAATTTGATTCCACAGTCTGTTCTGAATGAATATCCAACTAACTGTTGCAGGAATCTTACTCATTACAACTTATGAGTTGCAAATTTGAGAATTGCAAAATTTTGAAGAGCATCTTGTAAGATGTTTCTTACTACTTACCCTATTGAAGGACTGAAGCATGGAAACACTTTTCATGTTGTTATTGTTGTTGTTTCTGCTGCTGCTTAAACTAAAACCCTTAAATTCATTGCATGCGATGGTGCCTATTGGGTGAAATTATGATAGAAACCAAACTATTTTCTTTGGAGATAATAATCACATTTGATGCTAACGCTTATTGCTTTCGACAGATTCCAGGCCCTCCACCTCCCAAAGGATCTCTGGTTGAACATGACAAGGCACTGGGATTGTGGACTATAAAGTTACCTTCTGCAGACACAGTGGTTGTGAAGAGAACCCTATCAACAGTGACACAGCATCCTGAGGGCCTTCCTGGGGTGGAAGAATCCACGGATTTCGCTGAGCATAGGAAGAGCTTCTGGTCTTCTGTTAAACCAGCGCATTTCGGAGTGAAGCTCACCTCCAAATCCTTGCTGGGCATTGCGCAGTTCATCTTCACTGGACTCTGCATCGGCCTGCTGGGAGGTTTCTCCTTTGGCAGGTCCCTCCTACTAAAATTCCCCTCATTCTTCTCCGCTGGTTGGTTCAGGAAGAGCGGACCGACGGAGGAACAGGTGAGCAGCGCCTCGTTCAAGATGTGGTTCGTCGGGCGTGGCTACAGCGACGCGGCTCGTGCATCGGACCGCGGGAGCAAGCCTGACAAGGAGATCATCACGAGGGTTTCGGGACCAGAGATCGGCTACATCACAACCCCGATCGTCCTGGTCCAATGCGCCCTCGTCCTGCTGAGCCAGCGAGGGAACCTACCTAAGGGCGGGGTGTACACACCGGGTGCCGTTTTCGGCCCTACCGATATCCAGCAGCGCCTCCAGGAGAATGGCCTGTCGTTCGACCTTGTCTCAACTAGGACACTGTGATCAGAACTTCAGAAGCTGAGCATCTACCGGTTTGTTCCTGAACCTGTTGCCCTTTTCCTGGAACCTGCCTCTTGTTGCTACCTTACACTGAAGAAACGTACTGTAGTAGTCTCTTGCTACGTGTGTTGTGTTTGTGTGAAGTAACAGTGTGTTTCTACATGTCGAAACTCGAAACTATGTGTTGTCCTTGTGTGTAGTACAAGTTGTTATACTGTTCCATCTGAAATGAAAATGACGTTCCTGTGTAATGAGAATCATCTGGGTTCCACGAGTGTAGCGTAGATGGTTGTTGGCCTGTGAAAGCAAGGGCATTGTCTTGTCTACGACATTTAAATTTAATTTAGGGTGTGTTTAGTTCACGCTAAAATTGAAAGTTTGGTTGAAATTGAAATGATGTGATGGAAAAGTTAGAAGTTTGTGTGTGTAGGAAAGTTTTGATATGATGGAAAAGTTGGAAGTACGGAGAAAAAGTTTGGAACTAAACTCGGCCTTATTATGGTATGATTTTGCTGCTATATATATACAGTAGTATATAGAAAATTAAGTTAAATATTAGTTTTTTAAGAGTTAATGTTTTTTTTGAGAAAAAGGTACTCACGAAGCGTGCATATTCATCCTCTATAAATGCGCACACGCACATCCTATCCCTAGAAGTATCTTTGACAGATTGAATCGACATCTTGCTGTCGACGATATATCTAAGGAAATGATTAGCCGTAAATACAAGCAACAGTGTTAAGTTTAGAGTGTTCCACTGTAAAGAACCTGATCAGTCTTAACTTTTCTTGAAACATTAAATTTGATGGTGCCTTATTCCGTGGAACAGTGAAAATACTAACATTGGGGCCGTAGCAATGTTGTCTCGTACTCTCGTGCATTCTGTATCCTATTTTTCTCAAAGAAAGTCGCTGTGCAATTCGGGCAAAATTTATCCATCGGTGATGTGCCAGAAGCTTCCGTGCCGGTTGGAGCCACACGGCCACGCACGCATGGGCGCGCGCGCACACGTGCGAAAGCCGCAGCAGCTGCTGCTCCTGCTTCGCGTCGTCGCCGTCGCCGTCGTCCCTCCCACAGGTTCCTCGTTCAAAGCCACGACTTTTGCTTATTCTCCCCGTGGGCCCCCGCGACGACCGACCGACCAGCGGCGGCCGCTTTCGTGGACCGGACAAAAGGAAACGAAGCCCATGCCGAAACGGCAAATCCAATCCAAAATCATCTCGTGAAAACTTTCAAATTACTCATACAGCAAATTCAAATCCCGATGTTTCAAATAGGATTAATGTTTTTTTTCGCGAACGTGTAAAAAAAATTATATGTCAATATATTAAAAGAAAAGAGCGTTTGATACGCACCGCAATCCGTCAGACCGACTTATGCCAAAAAAATAAAGAAAAAATGAGAAAAAAAACGAGAAAAAGAAAGAAACTACTACGGTGGCTAAACGCAACTTAAAAAATAGGGAGGGACAGAGCCCCACTACCCTCTTAAGAAGACCCTAAAATAGCAACACCAGCTAACAATCAAATGGCCCTCGTAGATGATTAATCTGCAAACCGGCAAGATTACTCCGGGGATCCGGGCGAGCGCGTTCGAACGCGAATTCGAGAGGGAAATTGGGTGGGAATAATGATGGATTACCAGTACGCGTTTCTTCTCTTTTCTTCTTGTCTCCCATTTGGTTTCGCGTGCACGCCTCCTGCAGATGGATGGATGGAGTAGTGCTCCATACGGATTTCATTCGATAGCAGGCAGCGGCAGCAGCATCTTGCCTGGACTGGACCGTGTGCTTTCCATGAGAGCTTTCTGTTCGAACACCTTTGTCCCCCTCCTCCCCGTTGCATGGAGTATGCGTGCAAAGTGGTGTGTGTGCTGGTGATGGCCCAAAAAACGTTCGATCCCTTTGGCTGTCTCGTCTTTGACCATCTCGCTTTCTCAGTGCGATGCATCATGACTAGTGAGAGGGGAAGAGTGTGCGTGTGTGCGTGCATAGAGACGTCACGGTCCAAGAAAGCGAGCGTGAAACCAAAGCGAAATAGGCGTTCTGATGGTGGTTGCAATTGCGATGCATGGGAACGTTTTCTCGAGGGATCATAATCCATCTTCTACGTGAGGGTAATATAGTAGAAGAATATTGGGATGGTGAGGGTAGTATAGTAGAAGAATATTGGGATGGTGGTTTGTAATTGAATGCGAGAGAATGTCCTCTCGAGTGATCGGAATCTGTCTTCCGCATGAGGTGGTGTGGGAGAAGAACACAACGGGAGAAAAAAAAGATTGTTGTGCTTGAACTATTGAATGCATTTACATTGTGGGGGAGAATGTGATGGATACAACCAAAATTTGCTTCTCTTTTGATGATCCTACTTGTGTTATTCACATCAAGAATTGGGGCTAAAATTAAAGGGAAAAAAAAGAGATTTTGGAAACAAAATTTTGTACGAAGAAAAAAAGAAGAATTGTTTGTTGGTGAGATTTTTTTATCTACACCTACGTTGACTATGTGAGCTTGTTTGCTTACTCGCCGCCGCCGCCGGACCCGGCGATGTCGAGTAAGGCGGCGAGCACGTCCGGCATGTCCGGCCGCTCCTGCGGCGAGTCGGCGGTGCACCGCATGCCGAGCATGAGCATGTCCCAGAGCACCGCGCCGCTCGACGCCGCCGCCTCCCTCGCCGGCCACCCCTCCTGGGCCATCCTCCGGCTCCACTCGACCAGGCACTCCTCCTCGCCGCCGTCGACGGCGCGCCGCCCCGTGGCGAGCTCCATGAGCAGCACGCCGTAGCTGTACACGTCGCCCTTGGTCGTGGCGCGCCACGTCTGCCCGTACTCCGGCGCCACGTACCCCACCGTGCCGGCCACCATCGTGCTGACGTGGGTGTCGCCGGGGCGGACCACCCTGGCCAGCCCGAAGTCCGTCACCTTGACGCCGCCGTCGCGGCCGAGGAGCACGTTGCTGGCCTTCACGTCGCGGTGCACCACGGCGGGGCGGCACTCGTGGTGCAGGAACACCAGCGCGCGCGCCACGCCGATGGCCGCGTCCAGCCGCCGCCGCCGCCCGAACGCGGCGTGGTCGCCGATGAGGGACTCCAGGTTGCCGCCGTCGAGGTACTCGTAGACCAGGATCTTGGCCGAGCCGGCGAGGCACCAGCCGTAGAGCGTGACCAGGTTCGGGTGCGGCCACGTGAACCCCATCCGGTCGGCGAGCACCTCCATCTCGGCGCGGAACTCGCGCTCGCCGCTGTCCTCGCCGCCGCCGCCGCCGCCGCAGTCGCGGAGCCTCGCGAGCTTCTTGACCGCCACGTCGCGGCCGTCGGGGAGCACGCCGCGGTACACCACGCCGTAGCCGCCACGCCCGACCACGCGGTCGTCGGAGAAGCCGCTGGTCGCCGCCACGATGTCGCGGTACGTGAACGCCGTCTTGTCGAGCCTGAACACCTTCACCCCCTCCGACGACGACGAGCAACCCGTCACGCACGACGACGAGCACCCGGACGGCGGCGACGACGTGGCCGACATATGGAACGCGCCGCACTTGCCTCCGCCGCCGCCGCCGCCGCCGCACTTGGGGTTCTCGCAGGAGAGCGACTCGGGGTCCGGGTCCTGGTCCACCGGAAACCTCGCCCGCAGGTTGGCCATGATGAACACCACCGTGCCGGCGATGAAGGCGATGATGAGGGAGAAGACGAACCACAGCGCGATGGTTCTCGGAGACATCCCGCGCCCTCTAATGGCGGCCTGTGGCGCTCTCTGCCGGCGAGGGCCTCGATCCTGCAACGTGATGAGGGGGTCGCCGAGGAAGGAGAGCTCGTCGAAGGTCCCGAGCTGGCCGGTGGTCGGGACGTCGCCGGAGAGGAGCGGGTTGTACGACACGTTGAACTTGTTCAGGCCGGTCAGGTTGCCGAGGCTCGCCGGGAGCTCGCCGGAGAAGTTGTTGTACGCCAGGTCGAGTATCTCGAGGCACAGGATGTGGCCGATCTCCGGCGGGATCCCGCCGGAGATGCTGTTGTTCGAGACGTTCAGCACGACGAGCGGCAGGTGGCTGATCGCCGGCGGCAGCCGGCCCGTGAGCTGGTTGTTGTCGAGGTGGAGCAGGCTGAGGTTCCGCATTGCGCCGATCTGGGATGGTATCTCGCCGGAGAGCTTGTTGCCGGAGAGCTGCACGTAGCCGGAGATCGTGTTCGACCTCACCGGCGACGACGAGTTGGTGCAGATCGGGATGATCCCGTAGCCCTTGAGGAGGCGATCCCATATGCTGCGGCAATTCTCCCGCGTCATCACCGTGTACACGAAGTTGAACGGCGGGTAGGTCGCCGGAATCCACCGCCTCATGGCCTGGCACTCGCCGGAGCCGGCGAGCACGCTGACATCCTTCCGGTTCTTCTCGAACGTCGGCGCGGGGTTCCTCCCTATCTCTGCCATCTCCGGCGGGATCCTGCCGGTCAACCGGTTGTCGGCCAGGTTCAGCCAGAGCAAGCTGCTGCAGTTGCCGATCTCCGGCGGTATCTCGCCGGAGAGCTGGTTCCCGGCGAGCATCAGCCAGAGCAGCGACGTGAGGTTCCCGATGCTCGCCGGTATCCTGCCGGTGAGGCCGTTGTACGACAAGTCCAGCGCCTGGAGCTCGGCGAGGCGGCCGTACTCCGGCGGGATCCCACCGGAGAAGCTATTCGCCGGGAGCATCAGGTACTTGAGGCTCTTCATGTCGGCCACCTCGAGGGGGAGCTCGCCGGAGAACTGGTTGAAGCTGAGGTCGAGCCTTGCGAGCAGCGGCAGCCGGAGCACGCCGGAGGAGACGATGCCGCCGGTGTAGTTGTTGTGGTGCAACACGAGGTACTTCAACGTCACGAACTCGCCGAGGATCCCCTGCATGTCGCCGCCGAACGCGTTGGTGCTCATGTCCAAGAACTGCAGCGACGTGCAGTTCGTCAGCTCCGGCGGAATCCGGCGATCGAATCGGTTCTTACCAAGGATCAGCGTCTCGAGTCCGGCGAGCTCCCCGATCCCGGCGGATATCTTGCCGGCGAAACCGTTCCCCCACAGCGACAGGTACGTCAGGTTCGAGCAGCTTGCGATGGAGTCCGGGAATTCTCCGGCGAAGTGGTTCGCGGAGAGGTCTAGAGACCTGAGCTTGCAGCCGCCGGGGAACGTGGCTGCCGGGACGCCGCCGGTGAGGTTGTTCTCGGCGACGTTGAACTGCGTGAACCTCGCGATGCCCGGCCATAGCTCGCCAGTGAAGTTGTTGGTGCTGAGGTCGATGTACTCGAGCTTGGGGCAGCCGTCGAAGAGGCCGGTGATGTCGCCGGTGAAGCCGTTGCCGGAGACGTTGAGCACGGCGAGGTCGCCGCACGCCGCCGGGACGAAGCTCGCCGCGGCGCCGCCCACGAACCGGTTCCCGGACACGTCGAGCGTGCGCAGCTTGGTCAGGCCGGAGACGTCGAGCCCCCCGGCGATGAGGTTGTGCGACAGGTTGAGGTGCACGAGGCCGCGGCATTGGGCGAGGTCGCCGGCGGGGAGCTCGCCGCCGATGCCGTTGTCGGAGAGGTCGAGCCACGTGAGCGCCGTGAGCCGGGAGAAGTTGCCGAACGCGGCGCCGCTGATGGCCGAGCCGGAGAGGTCGAGCGCCGTGACGCGGCCGCGCCCGTCGCAGGTCACGCCGGCCCACCGGCACGGCGACGCGTCGGACTCCGGCCACCGGTCATACTCCCCCCGGTTGAACCTGTTGTTCGCCTGAAGAAACCTCTTCAGCTCGACGAGCACCTCCCTGTCGTCGTCGCTGGCTACCACCGCCACCTGACCTACAAAAAATTCACCAAAATTCGGTCAAATTCCGCGCAAAACCGAGCAAACCAAACCAAACCAAACCAAGAACAGAGAGCTACCTGCGAAGAGGAGTAAGCAGAGGAATCCAAGAAGCAGGGGAGACATGGCACGCCTTCGAGAATCATGGAAGAACAAGGGGAGCTACGACGAGGACGAGGCGGGAGGACGAATCCTCATGTGCTAGCTGCGTCTCCGCCTCAGCTACCGCTGCTACTCCGTCTCGCCAATTCCAGTGGCAAGATAGAAAGAAGAAAGTGAGAGGGACGAACTGACGAAGTGAGATGAGAGTTTAGAAAAAAAAGGATAAAGTTTTTGAGTGCTAAACCGGAGGTTATTTAAGGCCTAATAAGCGACATGTGACTGCGTTGAATTGAACCGGGTAAGGTAATGGCCGTCGCTGTTTCATACAAGTAGTATTCCTCTCTTCTTCTTTTTTTCTTTTCTCGGTTTTTAATTGGGGTTTCAAACTTCGCCACTGCTGCTGACCACACGGGGGACACAGGGTGATGGACCGACTGACGATGGCTCGTTGGTTATGGCCTCTGAATTTTCTTCCTCTCCTTTATAGTACAACTTGTACTATTTTCCTTCCCTCACAAAACTGATGAAATTTCGTAAAAATCGACCGGCTTTTATGAATCTGTCAGATATGAAAAACCAATTGCCGGTTTTCGTATGACATTGATCAAAATTTATCGGTTTTTACGGTTTTTGATTGGATTTCAGTAAACTAATGAGGAGCGGCTTTTACTTTGATATCGAAAAGTTAGGGCCGGTTTGATTTGAGGCCTAAATTAGGCTTACCAATATTTGGTAATTTTAATAGTGTTTAGTGTCTATTTGTTTTGAAGCCAAATTTTGGCATGCCTAAGAAAATAGGACATTTCAATAGTAAACTTAGGCTATTTTGGCTTCAATCCAAACACAATTTTACCTTATCAAAATTAGTAATGCCAAAATTTGGCATTAACAAAATTTGGTAAGACCTATCTAGACCATAAACCAAACCAACCCTTAAACCCTTGCTACTACCTTTCTGCTCAATGTATGAGCTGCGAGTATAACTGCGATTAGTAACGTACCAATCGACACGTCTGAAACTAATTCCCGATTAATCACGGGTTTTTTTCCTATGGTTTAGAAGTTAATCTCGTGGGTCTCTCTTGCTTGTTGGAAGAAGAGGGAAGGAAAGCCGCCGTTGTTGACGACGAGCGACTCGGCCTGGTCGGGTCGGGTCAGTCCACCACCGTGCCGGGGAGGAGAAGGGCGCGGGCGCGGACACACGCACGCGCGCGCGTGATCGATCGCGGATGCGTGCGGGCGACCAGGCGTGCGGCCCATGCATGCGCTGACCAGAACACGAACAGCACGCGGCCTTCGGATTTTTGGAATTTTCCAGGCGGAGGAGGGGCTCGCGGTCGGGCGGAGTAAACTGTAACTGCAAGTGGGGTGGGGAGCGCGATACCACCGCGACGATGCGTGATCCGGCATGAGTGAGTGACCGGCGACCGGCGATGGCGAAGGGGGCGGATGGGCGCGCCGCGCGGTGGTCGGGGTGGCGCTGTTGCTTACGCTGAACTAGTTTCAGTCGTATCCTATCTAGGGTTTACGATTCCAAGATGGCTGTCTATTTCGGGCTATGGCGAAATAATGGTTTTAGCGAAAACCGGTAGAAAGCCGATATATTCTGAACAAATTTCACAAACCAAATTTTGAATACAGATTCCTTAAGTTTACCGATAAGCTCGCGAAAACTCGTCGGCTTTGGCAAAATTCCGAGGGAAATCATTGAAATTTCAATTGTAGCTAGAAAAAGAGGTAAACTGAAATTGTTTTCCTTTTTTAATTCGTTATTATTTTCTTTACTACTGTAAATCTCAGTAAATACACAGAATACATCAATTTTATCAAAAATTTATATCCCAATAGGTTCTATGAATATCGTACTATTTTATAAGATTTTATTTTCCTTTTTTATCCATTCAAATTTGAATTTGGATGAAACTCATCGAAATCTCAGACGGCTTCTACTTTCGAGCCTCGTCGAAACCTCAAAATTTCACAGAATTCGACCGGTTTTCGTCGGAATTGTGAACCTTAATCCCATCCTACACCCAGGATAACTTATTTTGGAATAGAGAAAGTAGTTACGATTCGACTTATCTCATCATTTGCCCTATAATAAATAAGCCGATGTTAAGATTTAAATTTTAAATTATGTTGTTTATTTTAAAACATTAACATTTAATCACTAAAAATACAACATGTATATAAAATTTTTAGTCTAATTATTCTTTTTTAAATAAACCGTTTAATATATAACCAGCCTTTGGCCTACTAATAGGATTCTATGTGTCCGCGGACATTATTTTTTAAAATATTTAGGTCCTTGTCATATGTTCATTCGCTTATAGGCTACAACTAAAATTTAAAATTTTGAAATGTAATTTTAGTCCTACAGTTCATTTGACAGTTTTTAATCATATAATTTATTTTTCAGCTTTGGTTTTTATATTGCTAATGATATAAATATAATATTTTACACTCAATCATTTTTGTTGCTTCATTCATTTCAAATTTTGGTTGCTTTATTCATTTATCCATGACGTATGAGTGGTACTAAAACTGATTAGAGATCCTGTCGGGTATTTAGGAGGTCTGAAATTATCGAGTTATTCGAGGTTGAGTAATACGATTATTCTTAATCAATGCATGTACTTGTATATGGAGGTGAATGCTAGTTGCTTTTGGGTTTTAGAAAGGGTAGGGGTTCGAATCCGAATCGAACTCGGAATTATTACAATCCAGCCCAAGGCAGGGGATGCTGTACAAAGATTTTTGCACTTCTAGCGTTATCTGAAAAAGGAACTTTGCACAAAACGTAAAGCATAAAAGAAATTGAGAAGATGGAGACCTACGTGCATAGCAACTTTAGCAAGATAGATGCTTCCAAGTCCAAGCTCGAGCTACCATTTCAAGAGATATGCTCGATGGGATTCTGGTTTGAGTATTGAAATTCTGTCTAACCATCTATATATGCACATAGAATGCACAAAGAAATTATGTATAACCATCTATATACAGGGCTGTGTTCTTTAGCCTAAGGTCCCAACTCATCTCCATCGTTTTTCGTGCGCACACTTTTTAAATTGCTTAACTTTTTTTAAAAAATATTTATATAGGAAAGTTGTTTTTTAAAAATCATATTAATCTATTTTTAAGTTTTTTTAAGTTAACACTTAATTAATCATATATTAATCCATCGTTTTATTTTGTGTGGGTAGGGGAGGTCCCACCCCTCCAAAAAAAAAAAAAAACACAGCCGCAATCATGCCCTTTATATTATTAGCCTAAAGTTCAGCACACAAGGCCTAGCCTTTTAATTAACCTCATCATATATGCATGACATACATCAAACACCAATATATAGGATAAATTTATGGTGGGAACTTAACCTATGTGAAAACTCATGTAAGCCACACCCGAAAAGCCATCTAAAAAAATCCCACATGAAGCTAAAATGATGATGAATAGACCGTGTAAAGAATCTTTGCGGGATATAAAAACAAATTTCGAACCAGAAAACAGTGTCCAATCCTTTGTCTGAAATTTGTCATTTTTATCTCACAATTGAAGTTGAATTTAGGCAAGATTTTTCACACAACAATTCATCGTCATCTATCTACATATGAGATTTTTTTTTGTGATTTTAGATGACTTTGTGGTGTGGTTTACACGAGTTTTCACCTAAGTTCAAAATCTTCACTTCTTGGCGTGACAAAGCTTGCAATCCCTTAAATCTTTTCTTTTTGCAGGGACAATATCTCAGATATGTTCAAACATATACTTGAGTATAAACGCAATTTGCTTGGTTCACTACAGCAGAACAAGTTAGCAGTGACGGGCTCAAACTCTCATCTGTGACGGATACACCCCCTCGTCACAGATCAGTGGTCACTGATGACTCAAGTCATCTTTGACGGGTGGAGGTCCGTCAGAGGTGTCATTCCCCTCTGACGAGTTGTATCATGTGACCCGTCACATATGAGAAAAATCACCCCAAAAAAAAAAGCAAAAAAGAGCCACAACCACAGCTCAACACCCGTCACTGATGTAGATTCCGATGAAAAAAAACAAAAAAAAAGTATTTCTGGGTAGTTGCCATCGCATTCATCACACACAAAAATCTAGAACATTTCATCACAGATAAAAGTCTTTATGAACATATCACACATAAAACAGCCATGGCAAGCAAGCAATTCATCAAACACCTGACGAGCAACAAAAAAAAAACGAAGGTGCCCTTCTTCTTCTCTCCTTCCTTGTCTTTCTCGATCAATGCCTTCACAAGAGGAATAATCTGCAAGGCAAAACCAAATCGAATCAGATCAAATTCACCAGAATAACCACGAGAGAGATGGATGCAGAAATCAGATCTGGGTTCAAATCACAAGTTGAGATCGAATCATACCACGATGGGCTTGAACTCCTTGGCATGCTGGACCTTCTTGAGCTCGGTCTGGAGGCGACCTCGTCCCCATTGCTGCTCGACGCCGCCCTCTTCGCCTTCTGCACCCGGGAAGCGGCGTACGGGCGGATCTGCACCCGGCAGTTGGGGACGCAGCCGGCGGACGGAGGAGACGACGCCCGGCAGTTGAGGACGACGGATCCGGCGCCAGGCGGACGGGGATTGAGGCCGCGGCGCCGCCGCTCACCTCCTCCTCGCGGTCGAGGATGCAGGCCGCCGAACTGCCGCTCGCCGTTGGAACCACCTCGCTGCAAGAAAAACCGGATCGGGAAGGGGGAGGAGGGGAGAAAGAAGGGGGAGGAGGATGGGGGTACCGCCGCCGCACCACCTCGCCGCCGCCACGCATCGCTGAGCCACCGCCCAGCGTCGCCGCTGCCACGCGCCGCCGCACCACCTCGCCGCTTCGCCACCGCACCGCCGCCGCCGCCACGCACCGCTGAGCCGCAGCCCGGCGCCACGTGTCGCCGAACCAGAGCCGCCGCCCAGCGCCACCGCCGCCGCCGCGCATCGCCAAACCACCGCCGCCGCCTCGCCCGAGCTAGGGCCGTCGGGTCCTCCGCCGCCGCCGCAAGTCGTGAGAGGGAGAGAGAGAGAGAGAGAGTGAGGATAAGGGAGAGAGAGTGAGGGAGAGAGATATATTAGTCCAACCCTAGTCAAAGTCTTCCCACCCACACCTGTGACGGCCTCTAGGGACGAGCCGTTTGAGGTGAGTATACCTCACCTCTGACGGGCTGTCCGGCTGCGACCCGTCACAGGTAACTAGTCACCTGTGACGGGTTAGGACTTAAACCCGTTTGAGGTGAGGTAACCTCACCTGTGACGGGTTCTATTTTTAACCCGTCACAGGTGACTAGTTACCTGTGACGGGTCGCAGCCGGATGCCTCACCGATGACGGCATCCCGTATGACCCGTCAGAGGTGACGGTCATCAGTGACCATTTCGATTGCCCGTCACAGGTATCCCGTCAGAGATGTGAGGATCTGGTGTAGTGGTTCAACATGCAATATCTCTGAAGATGCTTAGTTGAGTGTGTGGTGGGCTCTGCTTCAATACGCACCATGTTTTTTGCATTTTGGATGGATGTCCTTGTCAGCCTACACGATCAGGAGTCAAACAAAAGCGCTAAGAACCTAAGACCCTTCTTTTTCAGACTTTAAAACTGAAGACCGAGACTAAACAACTCGTATAGTTTAACGGATTATAGTGGATTGTTTATACATGAGAACAATAGTTTTATAGTATTCAAATTCAATTGTGACACAATTTGGATCTATAGTCTGCTATCTGCAAGAGATTACATTTCACAATCTAGCTTATTCCTAGGTTTTTCTGCTAGGCCCGTTTTTTTTCTAGTGTTCTACATCTTCCTTCCACGACACCACCATTTTTTCTCATCCTAAATAGCTAGCTGTAAATTAAACCGTCGTCAAAACATGAAAAATGAAAAAAAAACCTAGCCGATTTTGTTGTGCAATTAGTTGCACAAAACTACTTGATCTACAACTTTTTTTAAAAAATGGAATTATATCAGTTGAAGAAACTAAGTTCAATTTTACAAATTATTAACGCAACTGTGTAGTTCTTATATATAAAAAAAAATAAACACCAGTTTAATATTTATATATTTGATCAATTAATCTACACCATTACAATTTATTACAGTTAAGTCAGTTCTCTTAAGTTATTTACTCATTCCTTTGGTTTTGTACTTGGTTATACATTCCTGCACGAATGTTCGTAACCCATGACGTACGTTTTTGGAGAATAGTCATGTGTTATGCATGATCTTCATTCTAGCAAATAAACTATATATTCATTTGTGACGACTGGCCTGCAGGTTTCTTGGACGAACCTCATATAGATAGAGTCAAAGATATATCTGGGACTATATGGCATTAGAGAAGAGAGTAAATGTTGCTTGCTAATGTCGATATTTGCCGTGCTGTCCAAGTTTAATTATTTTAATTGTTTGTTTTTGTGTAATGTGTCAAACTAATGGGTCCCTCTCGGGAGATCTTTTCTCCCTGCAGGTACCAAGTTCAATTGGGTGAATTCCACACAATTGCAATCCATTTTCTTAGGAAACATGTTGATGGAAGACACACATGTCTCGTGTGGTAGCTTCCTCTGCTCTGCTACGTACTGATTGATTCTTTCGTTGATTTTGACGTGAGCATGAATTTTCCTTGCATGATTCGAGCAGTCTCATTGCTTAGTCTGCTTAAGTAGCTAGATTAATTCTGAGAAGCAGCTGGTGAGTATCCAGTTAACCAGAATTTGGGATAGCTATTGAGGCTTGAATCTATATTAATTAGCAGTGAATTTCTAAAACCTATATGGTCATTTTAAGCTAGCACGTGGTTTTGTCACTAACTTATACTACCTTCATTTAAGAGAAAATTGCCTTTATGGGTGTGTTTGATTGCCTACATTGATCTTGACGTGTATGTGCGAGTGCAGGTGAGTGGTGTTTGGTTGTTTGCACATTTGTCCAATCTAGACCGAACTCGTGCGAAAGGCACCTTGGAACCAAACCCAAAGAGAATACATGTTTCAACCTTTGCTACCTAGCCAGGCCCGACGCGTGCAGGCGTGGTGCAACAGTGCGAGCGTGAGGGTAGGCACGGATGCAGGGGTGTGGGTTGACTCATCCCCCCACCCCATTCGTCTCACAGAAGTGCGAGGAACTCGACCTTGCAAAGGGTGATGAGAAAAGCTCGACGTTGTCTCCAATCCACTTGCCGGATCGCCATCATATCTCATCCAACCAGATTTGGCTTGGGATGGTAGCTATGAGCACGCTGTCACTATATCTGGCCTGCACGAGCTTACTATCATCGTCCTCTTCTTGTTGTCGCCTCTACTGTTATGCCCCAACATCATCTCTTCCTCCTCCTTGTTTAGCCGGATCTGGTAGCAAGGTGTATGAGGCCACTAGATCTGCCATCTTGGTTGCCAAATTCGACCACTCCGGTGATGACAAGCAACAATGACATAGGAGCGCGAGCGAGATAGAGAAGGGCGGAGAGCGAGAGTAATGGGCCTAGAGGAGCGACGAACGGCAAGGGAGAGTGGGAGTTGTTGTCGGTAGAGGAAGTGGGGAACGACAGGTGGCAGAAAAGTTGGGAATGGCTGACAATGCAGTGGCTCATCGTTTTGTTTTTTCTTTCTTTTCTTTTTTCACCTGTTTGTTGTAAAAAGGGTCAAACACATATTTTATTTTTTTAGACAAAGAATGCTACAATGATTTCACACATATATTATTTTTTATATGTAATAACTTGTTTACATCTACTAATTGATTAAATCTCTTTTTTTTATGATATGATATTATATAGGTAACCTTATCCAACTTTAAATTTTAACCACACTTAAATTCAAACAACCAATCAAACAAAATCAGTTCCCAACTGGATTACTCATAGAAGCAATTAGATAAAATCTGATACTATCTTAGGCTAATTAAATTAGTGCAAATAACCAAATAGTTGTCTATATGTGTACCTCTCTAGCCAAACCAAATTCAACCTAAAGGAGAGACGAGCATGCTAGAGAGATACCAGTATACAAAACATACACTTATTTATAGGACAAAAGTTTAAAATTTAATGACATGGGCTTACTTGAAAAAGGAGGGATTGGAGTAACTATCAAGGGAAAATTCAACGTAGTACTTTCTGATGCCACTGCACAGAATGGAAAAAATGCAGTACCTTTGCATCGATTTACCACATGTGGTTCAATTCACTATTTCCATTTGATTGATTCCGGAAATAAATGCAAATGCATTTTCTTCCAAATTGTACTGCTTTTACACGCGCACGTGCGTCGTACTGCTAGAGTACGTGCCGGTTACCATCAGTACCCACGAACCAATATATGCGCACAAAGAAAAATGCAGGAAAAAAGCACTTGTAAAAATGTCAATTAAGCAGAAAATCTCATGCATGACGTGGCAATTCCTGCACATACATTATCCATCCCTACAGGGCACAGTATACTCCACATCACTAGTACTATACTACTATGTACTATACTAGTAGTAATATTTATCCAGAAATTAATTAATAATTAATCATGTTAACCAATTCTACATATTCAACCTCGTGCTTTGACTTGCTAGCTAGTCCTCGGGCTTCAGGCATCTGTCAGGATTAGGTGAAGATTACCACAAAATGAATCAATTAATTAGGGTGTTTTAGATGTTGCCATGAAGCTAACAGAGTGTGATATTCTCCACAGAGGCCACTGCTCGGCCGAGCCAGGACAAATTCCGGTGAGAAAAAACCAATAATGCACACTGCTGGACAACGGCGACGTGTACCCTTGGCACGTGCAATCTCTCACTGTCATTTTGGTAGTTTATGCATGACCGGCACAAGGCCCAATGTTAAGCTTCATATGTGCACTAAATTACATGTTGTATCTAATGATCGATCATTGGGTTCAGATTTTGGGAAATCGAGACAGAATGATTGTTTGATCGACGCCGGCACATGTGTAGATATGGTTGTTAACAAGGGGATTAATTAACGGAAGCTAGTGTATGTGATCAGTCAATCATTGGCAAGATTAGTCCAGATATGTTTAGCTTAGGCCCTGTTTAGATTAATTGGCAAAAATTTTCACTCTGTCACATCGAATGTTTAAACGCATACATGAAATATTAAATATAAACGAAAAAAATAACTAATTACACAGATTACGTGTAAATTACGAGACGAATATTTTATAAATCTAACTGCTGCATGATCTGACAATGTGGTGCTACAGTAAATATTTGTTAATAACGGATTAATTAGGCTTAATAAATTCGTCTAGCAGTTTACAGGCGGATTCTGTAATTTGGTTTGTTATTAGTCTATGTTTAATACTTTAAAAGTGTATCCGTATATCCGATGTGACACGCCAAAACTTTACCCCCTTATCTAAATACAGCCTTAATTAAGCCTTAATTAGGTAGTAACTAATGAGTATATCTGTGGTGGAATAAAGTTTGCTTGTTGCGTTGCCGTCGTCGCAATCAGCGGCACATGCTGCAGGGGGGAGAAGACGCCATGGAGGGACAGCAAGGCCACCATGCGTTTTGTGCAGATGCAGCCATGGAGAGGTGATCGTGTTTCGATTCTCGTATCGATCATTTTTGCCAATTTGCCATGGCCGGATTACGGCGGCGGCTCAGCTTTGGGCAGCACAAAAGCAGCTAGGTGACACGGTAGAGGTCAAGAGATGGTGAGCAGACTGTTTTTTTTTCTTCACTTCTATTCCAACTCACCTTTTTCGTTTTCTGGGTATACGTTTTCTAAATTTCTAAACGAGTATGTTTTTTAGCAAAAAAATTCTATAGAAAAATTACTTTAAAAATTATATTAATCTATCTTTTATTTTTTAAATTAATATTTAATTAATCTCGCTCTAATCGTTTGATTTATTTTTCGCGTCAGGAGGCAAGTTTGGGCGATGCTTTTATGGCTGCAATGACGGCTCGGCCCATATGCTCGATTGCTGCGGCATGTGGCCCAGGCGCCGCGGCCCGTGCATGATCGGGGCACACCCAAAGCGTTTTCAGTTGTTAGGATGTGTTTGGATGAATTTTTTT